TATGATATATGATATATGATATATGATATATGATATATGATATATGACATGATATATGATATGATATATGATATGATATGATATGATATCATATGATACACACTACAACTGACAATGCTTTAGATGAAAACCTCTGTCTTGATCTTCCAGGAGCACAGAGAGGTCATCCACCGAGACAGACCTTCATACACCGAGACGGACCGAAGCCCTCGAACCTTCACCAAGCATTCGTTCGCTGATTCATCAAGCATTCGATCACATCCGCTAAAACACCTCATCCAACCATTGGACCATAGACACTTCTATAGATCTACTGATGTGGCTCAAGAATCATATAGGACTTAGAGATCTTAGAGGTCTTATAGTCAGTCTATCGTTCCTGATGTTCCTAAGCACCCGATGGTGGGAGCCATTCCGCCATTGAACCATCGCATGTCAGCTCCTCCTCCTCGATCAAAGCCTCTCGAAGCCCCGCAGTGCGGCCGAGCACCTGTCGGCGACCAAGTCGACTTGGTGTCACGGAGCTGGCTTCTTCAGGTGATTTGGTTTTTTTTGCATTGGATTGGTCGACCAACAGTTGACCTCTCCTAGGTCCTAGATGTCCCCTTCGGTTCAAAAACCAAGTTGACCACATTCGGACACATTCCTCACGAGTGGGGAAACGAAGCAATTCCAGGAGCATGAGGGGGCTCAGCTCCCAACCACACTGCTTAGAACCTGCACAAATATAGACCCAAAATGACAGCTGCACATGAATCCTCGCAAAACCCAGGGCTTGAGGAAGACCGATTGAGCGATACGCTCTCGTCGCCTCGCGTATCACTAAACATCCCGACAGAAAGGAGTCATGTCCTCATTCTCTTGCTAATGTATAATGAATAGACTCTTGATCCAACACCAAGCCCCCCCAGTAGTGGAGAGGTCTAGAGTCTCATGAAGCAGCAAGAGTGATCGCTCAGAAACTCACCAAGAAATGTTTCACATGCACGCTCCGCCGCTGCTCCGCATGCTCAGCGACGAGCGACGGTGAGGGTGCTCTTCTGTGGATCCAGCTCCACGCCGATGCCGGCATGAAGAAAACCTGGCCAAGAAACCACAATACAGAGAATGGCATGTCTTCATCCTAGATCCTAATTGATGGAAAGGCACAGATCACGGACTAATGTTCTTGTGTTCCGTTGTAGTCCTCCAAAATGAAACCCTGTTTATCCATCCTATTGCATCTCTTCCTTGATCCGAATGCCGTTGGTTTGGTCGCCCCACTTCTCACGGACTTTGAACTGTACCGGGATGAGCAAGAAGACCGTCCTCTAACCAGGCTCCCCTGTGCGGTTGCGCCAACACCAAGCGCGCACATGGAATCCGGTCTGGGGGTTGTGTTTCCGCGTAGCGTGGAAACACATGTCCCTTTTGACACCAGAGTCGCCGCCGAATAAACACACCCAGTGAATCTGGTGCATAGCACACCGTGAATGAGCTGGAAACCTGTTGTTTTCCTCCTGGTTTATGATGTGGTCGAAAAACAGGGTGCCTTTCATTTACTGTGTTTAAACCGGGTGCCTTTCCCTTAGATCGTTCCTTTTTTTCTGCTCTAGAATGCCCTTTCCTTCCAAACTATGGTCATCTATGGCGGGTTTTGAGCCCTCCCTTCTCATCCACAACAGAAGAAAACGCTCTTGGTACGCGCCGGCGCCACCCCACAAGTACTTGGGCGGAACGGTCGGCACCACGTCGGAGGTGCTGAAGACCCGCCAGGTCCGTGGCACCTCGGTGTCCCCAGGACCAGAGGGGGATGGTCGGGAAAGTTGCTTTGCACACCTGGAATGAAGAGGAGAAGAAGAAGGGAACGAAGAAGAAGAAACAACAACAACAACTACTACTACTACTACACTGACCTAACTTCTTGAAGAGTGCATCCAGCTTTGGAGTCAAAGGGTTTCACCTGAAGTAACCAAGTAGGTGTCACGTCCAACCTCCATAACCAAATTGAACTCCAAAAACAAGGACATGCAAGGGATTGTCAACATTATATAATACTAATTACTAATAATATATATATATATATAGTAATGTTAACATTAGTATATAATATTACTATTACTAATATTATTACTGCATATATATATATATATTGTGTTTTCTCAAAAACAAAAAACTTGGAAGTGGACACCTGCAGGAGATATATGTCTTTCTCCGTCACTTGACATGTTAAACGCATTAAAACAGAACCTCCAGCCCTTTGAGTCGTTAAACATATATATTGCAGTACAAACATATCAAATGAGCATCATTGCGACAGATCCTAGTCAATTTGACAAACTGGCCAACCACAATCACATGCTTGTGTGTATTCCGCACGTATGAATTGGTCTACTTCATGGACAAATTGCGACCTGGTATACATTGTACATGTTCACAGTCAATGATTTACATATATAAATCATAAATCCGATTCATTCTGTCCCTTCGATTCGGCTTTTACAACCTTTATCACTTCGCATCTGGACCCAGCTACATCCCTTCACCCTCCTCGTCCTCCTCCGCGTTCTCCAGGCCCCGAGGACCCCGGCATACTCGTCGCATTGCACGCAGAGCCGGGCGCCCCCCACGCGGGGCGCTCCAAAGGTCACGTTGACGATCTGGGCACCCCTGGAGGATCTCGGAGGCCAGAGAGGCCAGAGAGGAGCTAGTCATGAGACTCGGAGCGCCGATCGCTACTCGGTTCGCGTCCGATCGCGATGCCGTTCGGTCTGCCGTTCGGCCGGTTTCCGTTCCTAGCGGCCGAGCGTCGGTCCCTTTCGGCATGATACAATCATGGTGACTTAAGATGATACAGCCATCAGACGTAACCAATTGCTTTTCGAAGGTGGTGGAATCCATGGTTTAACATGATTTAACTACTTCATCACAGGTTCGATGTGAAAGCAGGTGAACTCACAATCATAGACCGCAGCGAAAGCTTCTTCGTTGTGTCATGCGACTCATGTGAGTGCTAGACTCTAGACTCGTTGTGGTCAGTGGCATCGCATCTTTCAGATCTGAAGGGTCAACCATCTTCCGTGTGTGCTGCTCCGTCTGCTTCTCCCTTCTGCACCTCAATGGACAGATCTCCTCCACTTGTCCAACTTCATCCGCTTGGCCAAAGACGGCGGGCAAACCACCTGAGCTGAGGCAGACGTCTCGTGGATCCAGAGCCCTCAAAAACGGCCCAACATCCAAATCCTATAGGTGGTCTCTCCAAGTATCGTGAGATCCGCTTCAGAGCTTCACGCCAGGCACTTGCCCAATTTTCGGAGGCTCCAGTGCAAACCCTTCGAAGCCAGCGACCGAAAAGGCGTTCTGGCATGGCCGAGTCCTTGAGTGTCGCAAAATGATCCGGACATCTCTATGATTTGGAGAGCTATTACTGTAAGCTAACTGTTGCCGTTCTGTTACTATTCACATCTATTCACCATGGGTGATGGTGCAGGATGTTACATGCCGGTCACGAGAGTCACCCACCAGTAGAATCAAGTAGATACACACATCGAGAAAATCTACCTTTCAAGCAGGTGGTCAAAACTCATCAAAACTCTATCCACACTTGGATTTCCTGCGCCAGAACAGAAAAATCCTCTTCCATGTGGCTCGAATCCATCAGATTCATTCAAAATCAAGGGGTGCCCCACATCGCCGAACAAATGAACAATTGAATCTTCAAGTAAAGTGGACAGCCACCCCGGAATGTAAACGCTTGATTCATCAAGCCCCCCAGTGGAGATGTGAAAGCATTCTGGAGACCGAGGTCGTATCCATGCGTCGTCTACGTCCACCGTTCGGAAGTCTCAAAGTCAAAGTCCGCTTGACTGGTGCGAGGGACGTCAGGAACGGCTTCGGAATGCTTATCGTACTCCAGGGGGACCTGCTTCGGAACGCTTTTCTTTTTGGGTCCCAAAACGCCGAACGAAACCCTCCGAAGACCCGAGTCCGGGACTCGGTGGGTACGTACGATCCGCCCCGAGCACGGGGGCCCGCCCGCTCCGGTGCCAGGGCACGGATGGTGCGCGCCACATCCACCGAGCTCAAGGTCGCCAGCGCGCCACCTGGGAGGACCGACACCGGGCGACCGACACCGGCGCGGCGACACGGGGGACGTTTCTGTTGGGTTCGGCCGAGCTCGGGGAGATCTATATCAAAAGAGGCGAAGCGTCGTTTTGGAGGGCCGAAAGGGGCACCGGTGTCTGAATAATTATATACCCCCCCCTTGTGGGGTGGGGCGGTCCTCTCCACTCTGGTAGTGGTCATGTTCGCCAGTCACGAGGCCAGCCCAGGGCATCTGAGACTACCTCTATTCACCTCAAACACCTTCTCAGAAGGTACGACTGGAGCCCCAGGGTCTACATAGATACGAGAGTATACCAGCAGTGCCATGTCAGGGTGCCATGTCATTGGAGGGGCCTCGACCTCGCATGGTCAACCTCCGATTCTCCGCCATGGTGGCCCCTTTCGGATCTGCTGGTCCGATGGTCCCCTTGGATTTGCTGGGCAGGAACCGGACCCAAAACAACCAAAAATCTTCAGAACAGGAGTCAGTTCGCGATTCGGGAAACATCACCACCGTCCATCGGAACATCGCCGGTGAAGCAACACCAGGAACACCGTCTCCGCCGCTGGTGCTTCGTCTGAGACGCGGGCGTCGTCTCGTCGGACGAAGCACCCCGGCGGAGTGGGGCTTTTTGCAGCACCCAGGCGGAGTGATGTTTGGTTTGGGGGGCGTCAAAGACGATCCCAAAAAGGAAGGATCCTTCGGAGGGGAGGCGGTTTGAATTCGGGGAACTTCCTGAGAACTTCACAGGAAAACAAGTTGAGATACAGTAATAGTAATAGTCTTTTGCGATATATTTTGTGGTGTGGTGTCTGGTGAAAAGGGGGAGATGAAGGTCGGAAAGGGTTTTGAGGACATGGAATTTGCAGGTCCCCCACTCATCAACAATAACCTCAATGTTGACCATCCCTCAATTACAAACCCTCTGTTGTAAGATGGTTCTGGAAACCCACAAACCGTTTCTCCAATGCTCTCAGTTGGAACAGTGGAGTTCCATGCCAAAGGCAGCCTTCAGCCCTGATATAAAGTGTAAGGTTGGCCCTCTGTTACAGTAATTAGGGGCAATAGATGAATTCAAAAACCCAAAGCCCTCCCTTTGACCATCTATAGAAACCCTTCTGTCCACCCAGCCGCTGAGCCCCCCAGGCCCAGCGAATGTCCGGTGAAGATGATCTGCGCCGTCAGACCGCCGCAAATCGCCGGGGACCGTCCCCGGGGGTTCCCCGCGTCACACCAGGGAGCCTTGGTGAAGCCTTTGCAGCGGGAAGAACCCCCGCTGACTTAGGTGCCGCAGCCAGCGGACCGGGATCGCTGGGACCCGAAGGTTTCTCTTTCTGATGGACTGTTCACTAGAGACGGACCAACACATGTTGATATATCAAGAATTGCTCAAACCAGCCACAGAGCTGCAGAGCTGCACGTTGGGCCAGCTGCTCCGCTACGACCCCATGGGCTCTTCGACCCCACGACTCTATGACCCCGTCTCGACTCTATGACCCCGTCTTTGTTCTAAGGCACACAACACAACCCTTGTTACGTTCGTTCGTAGCGAACCTTGCTCCGTTCGTAATGCCAGGAGCGCCCCGATGCCCTTGCGTCCTTGTTAGTAGCGATGCCCTTAGTTACTAGTAGCAACCTGGTGGTCCTTGTGCGCGTCCAGTTACCCTTGAGGAAGTGCCCGGTGCACGCTTCGGGAGGGGGTGGGGCAGCCGCGACGTCCGCGACTTAATCCCTCGCCATGTCCTGAGCCAACTGGTTGAACTCCCGGATCCCGACATGTCGATCCCCTCTTTTTTCAAAGCTCATGTCGAATTTCCTCCAGTCCCAGCCAGGTCCCCCTCTCAGTGGTGAAAACAGAACAAGACTCGGAAAGAACCAACGGAGGCGGAACCTGTTTGTACCCAAGCGGACCGCCAGGTGTGTTCGACCGAACCGCCCACCGCCAAACCGGCGGAACTCCCCTCCGCCTCCCATCCTTCGCCATCTCCACGGACTCCGCGTGCTAGCGTCGCATGCAGCGCTGCCCGGATCTGTGGGTTGGGAGAAGTCCGGTGGAAACCAGGACCCCCAGGGGGTCGGGGTGGTGCATGGACACCACGAATCACTGCTTTTGGGGGCTATAACATGCTATAAATAGACACTCCTATAAGGGGGTCCTGGTTTGGTCCATGTAGAGATTCGACACGCAGTCTCTGCGGATGTGGCACAAAAAAAAACCTCATTGAAAAGGGGTCCACTAGTGAAGTCAAATCCACCATTCTGAGAAAGCTCGCTATAGTCACTATACTCACTTGTTTCCATCCTTTCTAAGAAAGCTGCAAGCCATGATCCCAAAGACTGAAGAAAAGGGGATGAAACCACCCAACCCACCAAGCATAGACTTAGGGCTTCATGCCGACCGAGCGCCCCACCGGATCGCCGCCCACCGAGCGCCCCAGCGGAGTCGTAGGCGCGAGAGAAGCCTTCGTGCACCTGGACCGACATGGGAGGCTTAACCAAATAAAACGAAACGAATTAAAATGAAAGAAAGAAAGAAAGAAAGAACAAACAGAGCATGTGTTCCATTTTTGTTCCTTTTAGTGTTCATCTTTGAGGCTTCCCTTTTGCGTCTTTTTTCCGTCTCTGAGGGTCATCCAAGTGGGAAAACGTGTTCTCTGAGGTACTTGGTACGTCTTGGTACCCTCAAAATTTGTATGGAAAATTAGGTCTTGGAGATCAAACTATAAAGAAAAAAGGAACAATCTATTTGGAGACGGTTTCTTCCCTCCTTCATGGAAGGTCACCGTCTTTCTTGGAAAACGACGGACCTCGTCTAATGCATCGTTGTGCCATTATGATTTCCGTTAATTGGTTGATCCTTCGCAAGATTGGGCGCATTTAATGATTATCTACAATGTATTATTGGTTTGAGATTACAGTGTATATGTATATTATATGATATATATTATATTATATATGGTTGGTTTGTCCTTTGTTGCTTTTATGCAGTTTAATATTGATGATATTGAAGAATATGAAAAAACATGAAAAAACTAATACTTGGAGCACGTTAATCAGTGCTGGAGATATCCTACGACCTCACCAGACACCTTCACCCCGCAAAATGTCTCCCGCCCGCTTAAAAAAAGAAATCGGAAAAAAAAAGAAACAAAGGAAACACCTCTCTCTCTCTATCTCTCTCTCTCTCTCTCTCTTTCTCTATCTACCTCGGTTAACCGTCGCGCTTCGTCGCCTTGCCCAAATCACGGATGATCCGTGGATGCGCCTCCCGACGGCGGTGGCGGCTCGTTGGAGGCGACTGAGGGCTGCCGGGGGCGTCTCTTTTGTTCGATCCTATCCTGCCAATAGGATAAAATAGGTCACGGGGGTATGGGCCCCAATATCAAAGAAGTTGGAAGACGAAAATGATTCCATACTAAAACTTCTTGTTTTCGTTGCTGTCGTGTTTCTTTTCCTCCTTCCTACCCTGCAGCGCTGCCAAATCGGAAAGCTCACCCCCCCTCCATCCCCCTCCCTCTTGCGCTTTCCAGGACCCTCACACCCGCCCTCACACAGTCGCACCGCCCCCCAGTGGCACCGCGATGTCCGTGAGGACGTCTCCAAAGTCGCTGGTGCCGCGCCAGGCGACGACGAGGCGCTTGGAGGCTTTGAAGCGCCAGATCTGAAGCAGACGAAGACGAGGACCGCGCGAGGACCGCGAGTACCGCGAGGACCGCGAGTACCGAAGACGAGGATACCATGCGAACGGGCGGGCGTGATGAGACGAAGCGGGGGAGACGGAGCTTTTACCACGGGCGTCTCGGCGGGTGGGCGGGTGGGTGGCGCGGATGAGATGTTTGAGGCCTCCAACCCAGCGACGACCGGTTGTGTGGTTTGGAGTTTGGTGTTTCAAGGTGTACGATCCATCCATCCTGCGCCCAGTTTGGGAAAAAGCCAAAACTTGGAGAAACCACCCCTTCCTTCCAGTGAGTTTAGTTAAAAGGCTTAGGTAGGTACAATGACCCCAAGCAAGATTATCTGAATTTGTTGGGGTTCAACTGTTACCCAACCATTCCGCAAAGGCCATAGACTAGGGTCCAAACCCAGCATTCCGTATTGGTGCTGGGAGCCTCCAAATAGGCCAACCTCGGCAAAGTAGCTGCATTCAACAGGACGCTCTGCTATAGGAATACTGTCATCCAAGACGCAGGATGTCACACACTCACCTCCCAACATCGATGTCCGCCCCTTTTGTGTCTTTTCATGTTCTTCATGCTCTGTACAAGTCATTCATCATTCGCCTCCGAAGAATCATTGTTTCGGTCGTCCCCACGTCATGGGCGCCCGCGCTGCTTGCGCCCCCTCATCGGCCACATCGGCCGAACGGGCGGTGGCACCGCCGGGGCGCCGCTGGGTCGGGGGCCCTCGCACAGCACGCACATCTCTGGGCAAACCTCATTGAGGAGACCACATGTGGGACATCTCCATGCATCACACCTCGGGTTCAACATGTCCTCGGCCTCAGAAGCGGTGGTATCCCGTGTGCCATTGCTCAAGCGGTCCACCGAGTCATGTGGTTCATGCTCCAGCTCCGGCTTCTGCGGAGGATCCACCAGCACATCCACTGTTTTGGCACGTGGTTCGTCAGCACTGCTCTCAGTGGGAAACTCTCTGGCCAGATTGATGCCAGCTGACTCACAATTCCCCGGTTGTACATGAAAAGCTGCTGCTGCTGCATCCGGTTTGCAAGCGGTGTCAGCCTCAGCAACTTGCCCTTCCGCAGTGTTGTCCTGCTGGGA